TTATCTTTATTATCAAAATTATAACGAAAGTATGACAAACTTATTTATGATTAATATAGATTAAAAATGAACAGAATTTGATGTCAATTATTTTTACGTTTTATTGTCGAAAAACAACTGCAGAGAATTTTAAACAAATTTTTAAAGATTAAAACATATTTAACACATTATTCTTTGTGTTTCGAACTTGGATTATTGAAGACTTAAATAAAGTTGGTAAACTACAAGGAGGAGCCAAACATAAAACATTTGCAGGAGCTATAACGGAAGCTAAGGGTTAAAGGGTTGGTATGCACTTGGTCTGAATAAAAAGCCTGCAACCGGTTAAATGAAGGCCGTTACAGGGCGACCGTACCGTAAATTTAATATTAAGCGCCAGAAAAACGAGCATCAGTATCGAGATCGTTTAATTTTGAAAGTTAAAGCACAACTGAAGCAAAAGATAAAATTATTAATATCATGTGCTTGTTCCTCAGAACTAGCACAAGTAAACCATCAAAGGATCACTATTGAATACTAATGACAAACGCATATTAGATTAGTACCAATGAACAATGAACTTGGTCAACAGAAATATATCTCACGTTTTAAAAGTCGCAGGAAAGCGAATAAACAATCGTGACATTGGACATGGCTGAGAATATGCTAATAATATCAACGTGATATCTGCGAGCGTGCTAGGGGTGAAACACACTAGTAATCACACCAGAACCAACCAAACACCACACCAATCAAACTCCCAAACCAGCTAATCTCTCACCAAACATCTCTCCTTAACCGTAACTTTCATCGGAATCATCAGCCACAAATCTGGTACCCGTTTCGGGGCTTTAATCGCAGGACGGTTCTGTACCAGGCGCCCCAGCAGTTTGATCTTAGACCACTTTCTGACTAGGCAAACACTTGAAGTAACCTGTTAGACCTCGCAATTGACGACGAGATAACGTTATGGTTCTTCTAGCTGTTAGTGTTCCCTAAGTTCCTACCTTCCTAAACTCCCATTCCATTTTCCTCGACAACAAATGAATTCATCTGGAGCAGTGGGCCGCTTCTCTACCACTCTCCCTAACCAACAACTTGAACTCCCTTCCTCCAAACCCTATCCTCCTAGCAGCTCCCTCAAAACTACGACCAACTATCCCTCTAGCTCCCACTTCCACAGCGAAACTGAAACAAGACCATCCGTTGCTCTAGATTTCTGTCTGAAGGCTGCTGTACCTATCCATCTTAAGCTCGTGGGATTCTGTAATCCTCTCCTCTGACGGTACGGTTAACTCCCACCACAGCACCTTCTTGGCTGACCGGGAAAAGATTAAGAGGTCCGGTCTCAGCCGGGTCTTGGCAATCTCCTCTGGGAACTTCAGTTGCTCATCAAGATCAGATATCACCACCCAGTCCCGAGATGCACTCATGATACCAAAACTACGCTCTGCACTCTTCTTCGCTGGAACCTTCTTGCTTCCCTCAGGCATAAAATCAATACATTGCTTGGTCTCCTTCACTCTTTTCTTAGAGGTGTTCAGTGTTCACTCGGCGTTCACAATGGAAAGTCACGTAGTCTGTTAGTTGTTTGAAAACCTTATCATGCCGCCACCTGTAACGCCCTTGGCTCAGCGAGACCCTACAACCGGATAGAATGTGTTGTATGGACTATGGTCCCTATCCTATCCTCACACAGCTTGCAAAGTCCATCCTCTTCTTCATTTCACTTCGATGCTAAGGCTGGTGTGACCACAGTACCATAAGTCGCACTGAGCATAAAACCTGTGAGCGAATCACCATACTTAAAGAGTGTGTTCCAGCTCATGTCCGTCTTCATAACCTCTTCCGTCCACTGACCCCATCTTGACTGCATCTCAAGAGAACCGCATTGAACTTCCCTTTCATGTTCGAGGTTTCTTTTAACTCTCTGAAGGACCTCAGCTTGTTGTTCCCGGGCGTTCATCCTCTCCCACGGCTTCTTCCATTCTCCAAAACCTATCCCTGCCCTGCTGTATAGCTGGACCATTCCTCTCACCGCTTCACAGACTAAATCCCTCTCAGCACAAACTAGTTCCTTGTCTGGTCTCCAAACTCTCCCTGACCTGACTTGCGGTTGAATCTCCCTTATCATGTCATCAGAAGACTGCTGGTAGGACTGTTGGAGTCGACATTCCTCCAGCTTCCAAGTATCGGACAGGCTGCTGATGGGCAAGGCCACACTAGATGTTTGACTAAATAAGCAGATGTTACTCAGTGTATGGCCTACACCCAGCCACTTCCTCAGGAAACTGTTGGTGTGCTGTTCCCACCGGGTCACAGTGGTGAGGGGGATGTCGTAGATAGCAAGGGGCCACTTCATCTTTGGTAACACCATGTACTGGTAACCCCAACACTTCTGAATCCCGGATAGGCAACTGTCATCTAACCTCTGTAGATAGGTGTTCAAGTCTACTTTTGTTGTTTCGATGACTGCCTTATCTTTCCCCTCTGCTCTAATCCACCGACCCAGGAACTTGATTGGCTTTTCCGCTACGTTTGGAATCACCTTTCCCCCTAGACTCAGGCTTTCTTCGACGCTTCCACTTCCACTGTTCTCTTCACACCATTCTCCTACCATCCCCCTCTTCATAACCAGGGCTCTTGACTTGGAGGATTTCAACCGGAAACGTGACCAGTCCCCATGTCTCTAATTAAATATATTGAGCAGGGTTTTCATATCCTCCATCCGGGCACATGTCAAACAACTATCGTCCATGAAGAGCTTCAAGGGTGGGACTGAGATTACTCCCATGTCGTACTTGATGCTTCTAGGTACACTGATCTTAATGTACTCATGGCCCAAGTTCATACACAAGACGAAGAGGATGACACATCCCATAAATATCCCTAACTCAAACTGTTGCCAAACAGATGTTACCTCCCTGGAAGAAAAACGTCCATACGCTTGACCTTTGCATCCCTCAGGACTTCCCACATTGCTCCAAAGTGTTCAGTGCACCCACGCACTCCGGGTACTCCTCGTTTGCAATTACTACGATTAGCTTTCATTTAGCATAAGCTAACTAATGGATCTGATGGTGATTGATAGTTGATAGTTGATGCTGATCAAGCTGCTGATACGGGATATCGTATGCGTTTTGTAACATTGTTGTGACGCAGCGCTTATATTAGAGTATTAGCGAAACTCGAAAGGAGGAGCCAAACATAAAAAATTTGCAGGAGCTACGGAAGCTAAGGGTTAAAGGGTTGGTATGCACTTGGTCTGAATAAAAAGCCTGCAACCGGTTGAATGAAGGCCGTTACAGGGCGACCGTACCGTAAATTTAATATTAAGCGCCAGAAAAACGAGCATCAGTATAAAGTTAAAACACAACTGAAACAAAATATGAAATAATTAATATCATGTGCTTGTTCCTCAGAACGAGCACAAGTAAGCCATCAAAGGATAACTATGGAATACTAATGACAAAATCATATTAGATTAGTACCGATGAACAATGAACTTGGTCAACAGAAATATATCTCACGTTTTTAAAATCGCAGGAAAGCGAATAAACAATCGTGACATTAGACATGGCTGAGAATATGCTAATAATATCAACGTGATATCTGCGAGCGTGCTAGGGGTGAAAGACACTAGTAATCACACCAGAACCAACCAAACACCACACCAATCAAACTCCCAAACCAGCTACTCTCTCACCAAACATCTCTCCCTCACCGGAACTTTCATCGGAATGCTAAATCACTTTTCACTCGATCTTCTAAACCAACTTCAATGAATGTATTTTCGCACGCTGTTTCCGAATCACACCCCATGACATTGGGTACAAATGCTCCCTGGCGAGATATTGGCGAAAACCGTCTCGTTCACGTGATATGACCGTATAAGGAATTTGGACTAATTTCTCGTCAGGATTATGGCTTCAGCATATGTTTTTGTTAGGGATTGGATTAGGGTTGGGATCAGATTAGAGTGCGTAAGGGTTTTAAAATGTCGTTCAGGGCCAGCTAGAGAACGGGGTGAAAAAGTCACGTGACAGTCGAGTGATTAATCATCATCCTGATATCTGACCAATTTGAATTTGTTTCTTTGTTTATGAGAGATCTGTTCCAGACACAGCCTATACGTAGTAGGTATAGAAGACTGGAGGGACATATCTAATTAAAATAACTCTGGCATTTGTGTCTTGGTTACATGGAATCACGTTTCCAAATCTTTTACACTTACTGAATATCTACCCGCTATTTGTGATTTGTGATTCGGTATGGGATCTATGCATTATGGAATCACAGAAAGGTATGCAAAGAAACATGACAGGTATGTTTACCCTAGATAATGCCAGTTCTAGTTTTTAAACTTGCGGAGTTATAAGCTCTTCTCACGTGTATACAAATGCACTCTTACCATTTGGGAAACTAGTCTAATACTAAACAAGTATCGAATTCAAAGAAAAATATTTCATTGTATTCAAAAATATTTCCTTGTGTTTCAAGATTGTAAGAACACTTTTTAACGCCCTGTGTCGGGCTCGTCACGTGACGATGCAGTGCCTAAGACTGCTGGACAGTTTAACGACAGTCAATATTCATTACCAATTAGATAATTCATTTAATGGGTATCTAATCAGATAATAGTGAATAACGCTCGACATATCCAGGTCGATGTTCGGCTGAAATTATTTCCTTGTGTTTCAAATTTGTCAATTTTTCAGCAGATTAGATTGTAGATTTTTCTTCGAAGAGTTTTATTTTCTATTATTCTTTTATGTTATAAGTCGTACTAATAAAACTCAGAATTGATGAATCTTGATTCATTAATGCGAAAATGGTAATTTATAACAGAATAAATTAAGAGACGATAAAAAGAAATTCATTATTATAAAAAATGATAACGACTGAGCCAAGCAGTTACTCAGGAAATCAAATCTCCCCGAAAGTAAAAAAACAAAATCACTTCCGAACAGATAAAAGAACCATCGTCACAGAATGTTAAAAAATTTAAAATATTTACAAAATTTAATCGTCTGAAATGCCTGGTATTTGAGTCATTTATATTATTTACAATAAAAATTAAGTAATATCCTATTTCAGAGAAAAAGTCTTCAAAAATAAGCGTTTCCCACGTCGGAGATGAGTCAGGTCAAATAATAGTAAGTAAATAATACTCGCGACATCAAAACATCGGTCATAAGTAAGAGATTAAAATCATAAATATAAATGAATAACATTCTACTTTAAATTACCCTAAATTGCATGGAGTTCTTTTTTCGTTAATTCTAACACTTCTTCACAAATACAGCCCAGCTAAGGGAAACTATACAATTGCAAATAATCGGTCCGGTGTGGTTAATCTTGGAAATAGTTGATGTGTTTCATGCGAACGTCTTTAGCGCACACAGCACACCTGGCTACACCCATGTCTAAGATTTCATTGATACCACTGTACACGTTACCCATACCCCACATGCCCGGTTGGGTCAGATCGGGGTTCTGGGCTAGCCAGTAGTCGATGTTGTTGATGTAGAATCCGCAAGTTCCTCGTCCGAGACACTCCACGAAGGTAGGTACGTAGAATTCTTCTAGACAAGAACCGGCACTGGCAAGGGTCTGTCCACCACCTGAGGCTCCGGAGGAGGTAACCTAGGGAGAGGGTGGGTTAGAGGGTGGATTAGAGGGTGTGTAAATGAGAACCTAGGCAGGGTGGGTTAGAGGGTTGGTTAGGAGGGTGTGGAAATGAAAACCTAGGCAGGGTGGGTTAGAGGGTGGGTTAGGGGGGTGGGTTAGGGGGGTGGGTTAGGGGGGTGGGTTAGGGGGTGGGTTAGGGGGGTGGGTTAGAGGGTGTGGAAATGAGAACCTTGGCAGGGTGGGTTAGAGGGTGGGTTAGGAGGGTGGGTTAGAGGGTGTGGAAATAAGAACATAGGGAGAGGGTGGGTTAAGCGGGTGTGGAAATGAGAACATGGTGAATTATTATACACGTACTGTATTCTGTAATATTACGGAGGGGGTTTGTTTCAGACGCAAGATATGAAATTAGCAATTTCAATTGCCGCAAAATTAAGAAAATCTCAATCACACTTACCATAAGATATGAGAATCCCTCCCAGATCTCGTGGAATCCTTCAGGGCACTCTGGTACATCAGAAGTGAAGGAATGACGAGCAAGAATCTTAGAGCTGCCCCCGCATACACTGCAGCGAGACACGTATCTGAGGGGAGGAGATTGTTAGACGAGGGAGGGGTTATGGGGTTTGTTAGGTAGATCTACTATGGTTAGAGAGAACAATGGGTGTATTTATGTGTGACATATTTACTAATACCAGAGACAGCATACTTTAGATTAGCAGACAATACATTATGATTATATGATTTGTCAACAATGAGCCTTTTCAACAATATTACAGAATCACAAATATCGACAGTAATTTATAGCGTTTTTACACATAATACTAATAGATAACGTACCCGATAAGATCGTCTAAGTTGGACTCTGGTTTGATGGTGAAGTCTGGGTTTTGTTCGTTAGCCAGGTAGAAAGCTTTGTCGGTTCTTACTCCGTGATTACATACTTGTCCACCCGAACACTGCATCATTGGTACGGTCTGGAATACTTCGAGGCAAGAGCCGGCACTTCCGAGCTCTTGAGCAAGACTGTATCCGTTACCTGAAACAATATAACTGTTACGATACTTATTGGAGCAGACAATAAACAACTTGATTCGTAATGGAATAATGAAAAATAAACATCACTCTTAAAGAAGATATTGAGGACATCATATTATGGTATAATTCTGCTCAGCAATTCAGTAATATATCTCATTCCTGAAACTTACCTTCCAACATAACAAGAGAGTATCCAGTCCACAGAGACTTGAAACCTTCTGGGCACTCAGGTACCTCAGTAGTCTGGGAATGTCTGGTCACAACGTGAACGTCACAAGACTTGCAGACAGTAGGTCGTTTTTCACAGCCACAGTCTCCTTCGTCTCCTTCCTCTCCTTCAGCTGCTCCCTCTCCTTGGTCTCCCTGTGGATCACATTGTTAGGGGTACCGTAAATGTGGTGCAGTTTTTTTTTCTTCGTTACATTCAAGGCATCATGTTGGTTACAGGAAACAATATAATTTACAATTTGTTATCTTTGTGATAACCAGTCGTGGTGGTTAAAAATTATTGGAAATTTTGAGTAAATCTGTATGTACCTCAGGTCCTTCATCTCCTTCATCACCGTCATCACCGTCATCACCATCTTCACCGGGTTCTCCAACAGTACCGTTAGGTCCTTGTTCTCCGGGTTCTCCATTGTCTCCTATTATAGTAACAGGTTAAAACCCACTTTCACTTTCGATTAATACTTCAACTTTTATTGCCAACTTTATTTTTGAACCTTTTTATATTGCATATAAAATATAAATACGAACCATTACACATTTTGTTGCTAAAAATAAAGTTGAAATGAGCTCAGTACTAACCGACGTCACCGTCATTTCCAGCTTCTCCCTTATCTCCAGAAACTCCGGGAATACCGGGACCACCAATTTCTCCATCAGCACCAGGGGCTCCATCGGATCCCATCTCACCGAGATCACCCTCGGCTCCTTCGGGTCCTTCAATTCCTGTGTGGTGATACAGACCTCAAGGTTTTGTAAAACTTGGTAGATTATGCATTTTGATATTACAATAACTTTATCCATAAATGTTTTTATTTATGAAATAATTATTACCACATTGAATGCATTGTAATATATTTTTTTTCTGTAATTTTGAATTTTTTTCTGTTATCTTGAATTTTTGTCTGTAATTTTATATTTTTCACAATTACCTTGATCTCCAGGTAGTCCGATGTCGTCAGGCAGAAGTAAGTCTTGGTTTTCATCGAAGAAAGCAACAAGCTCATCCCAAAGTTCATCTTCCTGAAATGAGGCTTATAATTTCAACAGAGTTTCATTGTTCCGTTATTTTGACATTCTTCTTCCGAAAATATTAGTGCACTGGAAAAGTTACATTCCAAGGGTATGAACTTTAAGCTGTGAATTTTCGGACGTATTTTACAATTCAATTATAATTAGATGCCGAAAAAGGAACAGTATTCAAATAATCAGTCAGATAAGGTGAACTGGTAGGTACTTACACCCTCTTCAGGACTGATGTCAACGAAGGGATTGTTACCATCGTCACCGCGGACTCCCTTCTCTCCCACACTACCCTTCACTTGGCTGGCTTCACCTGGAATACCATCCAAATCCTGACCATCATCTCCCTTTTCTCCGACAGCGCCGGTATCTCCTTTGTCACCATCTTCTCCCTGCAATATTAAACTTAATTGACGTTGTAATTTCTACGGTGCTTCATTTTTTCCGTTGATGAGGTTTACGTAACATTCTGGTCATGTTTCGAAGATTACATCGCTTGAAGAGGTGCAATGCAGTGACGATGAGTGACCTAAATGAGGGGTTTAAAGGTGGATTTCATCTTTGGTGTACTAACAACCCTCCAGGAAATCTAATTATAAAAAACATTTAAAACACAAACCTGTGGGCCAGAAACACCCTCTTCTCCTTCATCACCCTGGTCTCCTTCATCACCCTTTTCACCTTCATCACCATTTACACCCTGGACTCCCTTGGCGCCAGTTTCTCCAACCGGTCCATCCTCTCCCTTGGCTCCGTCAACTGCATTTGCACCATCCTCACCGTCAGGGCCTGGTGGTATTGTTTATTTCAACACAACATAGACAGCAAATACATCGACGATTCTATTTTATATTCATTTATTGCTGTACTCTGTAAAATTTGAAAAGTATGTAATACAATATTTTAAAAGTTTAAATAACTGGTACTACGTTCTTGAGGAATTTTAAACATCTTATGCTGAGACTAAGCGAGAGATATAAACAAATGAACTTATTCTGATCAAGGTTGGAAATTTAAATCATCACAAATTGCCAAATCCCAGTTCATTATGTAACGGAGTTTTATATTAACAGGAGACGATGTAACAGAGTCGATATATTGTAATGTTGCCATGGGGTGGCAAGTCCCCATACATCGTGGTCCGGTAGTTTCATTGCGTCCTAATATATGCAACAACTAAACAAGTATATTTCCATTGTAATGACAATTGGATATGCGAAATTTAAAGACGCAACGGGGCAGTTATTTCCCGATCGAAAAATTGCAGTTAAGTATAATACTAACCAGTATGGTCCTCTCCAGGTGCACCTTGTTCACCGTTTTGCCCGGGCTCGCCTTGGTTTCCCTGGCTGCCCTCTGGACCTGCAACACCGTCTTCTCCCTTGGGGGAAATTTGTTTAGATTTTGAGCAAAACTATCTCCCAAATCCACATGTACACTATATGCAAAGCTATATCTGAACTTTTGGAAAACTTAATCTACACGGAGCTTTGGTCGTAAGTGTAAAAATTTCAAACTCAAATTATAGTGTACCAATCCACCTTTGAAAACAGAAATCCTGTTGAGGATCATTAAATAAAAACTTTTAAAAATCGAAAATAAACTAACCACATCACCATCAACTCCATCTGCACCTTGAGCTCCCTTAGGTCCATCAGGTCCTTTGTCACCCTCAGGTCCATCTTCTCCAACTTCTCCTTTGCCTCCTACAGGTCCCTGATCTCCTTTGGGTCCTTGTTCTCCTGGCACTCCTGGTTCTCCCTGCTGATGGGCACCTGAAAGAAAACAAATTATGATAATATTTATGAAGGAGCACATGTAATAGTGATTTTCATGTTGATACCGAGGCTAATGTTTTTTGAAATAGACAAGTTGTGTATGGATTTAATAGACTGAAGGCAGAATGAATCATACGATGAAATGACCTATTCACCATAATTTTATTTGTATTACCTTTAGCAATATGAAGTACTCCATCTTCACCAGGGAGGCCATTACTTCCATTAAGTCCTGGTTCTCCATCTGGTCCTTGGTCTCCTATTTCTCCCTTAGGTCCTTGTTCTCCCTCGTTTCCTTGATCTCCCTCGTCTCCTTGAGCTCCCTCGTCTCCTTGATCTCCATCGGGTCCTTTTGGTCCTTGGGCTCCTTTTTCTCCATCAGCGCCTACATCACCTTTTTCGCCTACAACACCTTCATCTCCTTGGTCACCTTGGTCTCCCTGAAATTGCATTAAATTTAACCATCATATAATTTGACTCTAATCATATTCAAGTACTACATTTTATGAGGTTATAGTAATAACTTATCGATCAGGATCTCAATGCACCATCAAACGATGCACCATCAAACGACTAACTGCATTTCAGATTATCATTGCATGCATTATCTAGGACCTAGGTTCATAAAATAAAAAATCTTTGGAGGTGCTTATTGTTGTATTTAAGATCACGAATAACCAAAAATCTGTACCTTGTCACCAACGGCCCCGGGAATACCAGGAAGGCCCTTGGCACCATTCTCTCCAGGATTACCAATGGCACCATCGGAACCATCTGCACCGTTCATTCCTGGAGCTCCGGCATCACCAACTTCTCCGGGGGCTCCATCAGCTCCCTGTTACGAAATAGTTTAGCCGTTCATTTGAGATTTAATGTGTAGCAAATTCTTTTAATCACTGTCAGCCTTTACGATCACAACTAAATGCAAAAAGATTTGAAAAAGATGAAATAATTTCATTTAAACAGTTCTTTTTATAAGCAAAAGTGCTTTCGACAGTTCTTTCGTAATCACCAATAATCTATGAGATATAATTGGTAACGATTCTAACCTGCATTCCTGCTGGTCCATCACCATCTGCACCAGCTGGTCCTTGGTTACCCTTGGCTCCTAGCTCTCCATCTGGTCCCTTTTCTCCTTTAGCACCGTCGTCTCCGTCAACCCCTTGGTCACCTTCATCACCATTGTCACCCCATTCACCAGCATCACCTACATCACCAGGTTCACCTGCAAGAAATGTGCGTATTTATCAAAATGTAGCAATGACAAAATTCACCAAACTAAATCATTTGAAATGATGAGGTAAAAATAACAATGATAAAAATGAATATCAGTCTTGGTTTACGGGTGGTATAACCAAACTCAGAAATAGTAGGCTTTTATGACACAAGCAACAAGTAACATACGACTATTCGCAGAACCGCATGTAATGTTTCAAAGTGTGAGTATGGCCCAATCGTGTGTAGAACTTACCCTGTGCTCCTGTTTCTCCTTGATCTCCCTCGGCTCCTTCTTCTCCCTGGTTACCAATTTCACCTTGAGCTCCCTCTTCGCCTTTTTCTCCTACTGCACCAGTGGGACCTTCAACACCTTTTTCACCTTCAGCTCCATCAAGACCATTAAGACCAGCATCACCGGGTTCTCCTTGTGGTCCTTCTACTCCGGGAACTCCAGTGTCACCCTAAAAGAATTAATTTAAGCTCTCAAATTTTAATTCTTTTTATATTTATCCGTATGACAACTGTGACACTGACAGAGTCAAATAATTTCTTTTTAAGCATTAGGTCAGAAATTAGGTCGCCAAGTGTTTTATGGTACATCCACATTCGATTATTACAAAGAATTCTCATTTACTTTATTCGGGTGAACTGCGTGTTATTGAAATATATTATCTTTCTCTCTCGGTTACGGCCAACGGTTTCTGGCCTCCTACAATTGAAATGTATTAATATTATATTATACAACTTACTTTCTGTCCGAAAACACCTTTGGGGCCAACTGCTCCATCAGAACCATCCAAACCAGCGAGACCTACACTACCGATAACTCCCTTATCTCCTGCAAAATAAACCACTTTGACATAAAGTTTAAAATAATTCTAATATAGATAATTTAATAAACAGTGAGCTATAAAACAAGCTTGTATTCATCACCTTCTAGAGGATGTACCTATCTACAGACTAAATGAATATAAGGCATTATCCCTTACCACTTAATCCATCAGCTCCGACTTCTCCAGCATCTCCTACTGCACCCTCGGCTCCAGCAGCTCCTTTCTCTCCAGCAGCTCCATTAGGGCCTTGTTCACCAGAAGCACCTTTGTCGCCAGACTCTCCTGTTTCTCCTACAGTTGTGTCTCCTTTCTCTCCGGCGACACCCTCATCTCCTTGGTCACCAATGGGACCAACGGGACCTAGTTCACCTTGTTCTCCTTCATCCCCAGCTGGTCCTTGATCTCCTTTGGAACCATCGGGAGCATCCTCCCCAGGCTCTCCTTTAGCACCGTCTGCTCCTGGACCACCTTCAGCACCGTTATTTCCCTCGGGTCCGTCTGGTCCTTTTTCACCCTGTTCGCCAGCCTCACCTGTGGCTCCTTTTGCACCTTGAGCTCCGGGTTCCCCCTCTGCTCCGATTTCTCCTTGTTCGCCATTACTGCCGGGTGCACCGTTTGCCCCATCAGCTCCATCGAGTCCATCAGAACCACTGTCTCCAACTCCTCCTTGGTTACCTTTTTGTCCAATTAGACCACTATCACCTGTTTCGCCTTGAGCTCCTTGGTCACCCGGATCTCCGTTGGCACCATCAAGTCCTGCAAGGGCATTGATTCCTGGTATACCAACAAGACCTTTTGGTCCCTCGATGCCCTCACCTCCACGAACGCCTGAGGCACCTTTAGCTCCGGCTCCTCCTTTTTCACCAGGTGAGCCATCGGCTCCATCCAATCCATTTAAGCCATCTTCACCTACAGGACCTTGCTCTCCAACATCACCAGTTTCGCCAGACGGTCCTTGGTCACCCTGATCACCAAGTTCACCATCATCTCCACTAGGAGCGTTAGCTCCTGCTGCACCCTTATCACCCTGAGCACCAGGCTCTCCAACGGCTCCATCATCTGCATCATCTCCTGGTGCACCGATATCACCCTTAGCTCCTTGTGCTCCTGGCTGTCCATTTGCTCCTGCTTCTCCTTCAGCCCCGACAGCACCAGGTTCTCCGTTAACTCCTGGGATACCAGCATTTCCTTTTTCTCCATCGAATCCTGGCAGTGCGCTGTCGCCCTCTTCTCCTTGATCACCTTTCTCGCCCTCTATTCCCTGATCACCCTCCTCACCTGAGAGAAGGTCATGTTGAAAACCAAAGTAGTTGGTTAGAAATTGGTCGGAAATTTTGTCATACAGTGAATTTTTGAACTGTTATATTAAGCTAAGTAAGAATTAAACCATATTGAGAAAGTTAAACTCCAGTTTAGGATAGCTTATAGCAAAGCCTAGCCTCTGGGCCCTGATTACTGATTAGTAATGCTCTACTTCTATTTGATTCTCTTTTACCCTGAACACTAACCTTGTGGTCCTTCTTCTCCTTGGTCTCCTTTCTCTCCTACATCTCCTGGTTCTCCGACTACTCCATCGCTGCCGTCGAGTCCATCAGATCCGTTTTCGCCGTCAACTCCAGACTCACCCTTAGCTCCTTGCTCGCCAGTGGGACCTTGTGCTCCTACTGCTCCCTATTAGAGAAACCCGATGTAAATTCATTGCTTTATTTGCAGCCTGACTTTATGTGAATTGATAAACTTTAAATAAGTGGACATTCAAATATACATTTAAATCACACTCACATCAGCTCCATCAGCTCCATCAGCTGCATCATCACCAGCAGGTCCTTGTTCTCCTTGAGCACCGGTCTCACCTGCAAATCAATCTTTCAGTTGGATGTACGCTCATGTAGGGCGTAGGCAAACGATAATTAAAGGAAGGCTTTGTTAAATGGACACTGATGCCATCCATGTAAAGCCTAACATATTTGTAATTTGCAGTCTACCAGCAAAAGTGTTATGATCTCGCTGCCGTTATCATTGAAGCTTACCAACATCTCCTTGGATTCCAACAACTCCCTTTTCGCCAGATTCTCCTTGGGCTCCGTCCTCTCCTCCTACTCCTTGTGCTCCTTGCTCTCCTGGATCGCCAGTCACATCAGCACCATTATCACCAGGATCTCCAACTGCTCCAGGATCCCCAGAAGGTCCCTTGTCGCCAGGTTCTCCCTGTGCACCAGTGGTGTGTTCACCCTGTGGGCCCTGAGCACCCTTAACTCCATCAATTCCGTTATCAGCATCTTCGCCTGACAAAGTTTTTGACTATCAGTTCAATTAGTTATTTAGATAGAAACACGATTTTTGTAATATGAGAAATTAAAACAAATGCATCCAATCTATTGAAGTTAGTTGCTTACCATCAGGTCCCTGTTCTCCAGGGATTCCGGCTGGTCCTGGTGCACCTTCGCCTCCGGCATTGCCATCAAGTCCTGGGGCTCCCTTCATACCGGGTTCTCCCTGGAATTTTATTCCAATTTAGATTTTTAAATTTGCTTGGCAACCACTAAAACTTTTCTGTCCAGTCTATGTCAGAAATGTTTGATAATACAACAAAAATTAGATAGATGATAAGAACATAATACACAAACAAGGAGGCGTCTTGTCTGAGCCAAAGAGTTCTAAAATTCACACCTGTGCGCCAAGTTGTCCGGGGAATCCATCGATACCGTCCTCACCGTCTGGACCAACATCACCTTGAGCTCCTTGGTCACCGGGTGCACCTTTAGCACCAGCATCACCAGGTTCACCTTTAGAACCGACTATTCCTTCGTCTCCGTTTACTGGATTGCCGATGAGGTATCCCTTTTCTCCCTGTTCACCGTCTTCTCCGTTGTCTCCATTTGCACCGTCGTTACCAGAAGCTCCTTTGGCACCATCTGGTCCTGGCATTCCTTGGACTCCAACAAGACCCTGGGACATTTTGATCAATAATTTGACCTTAAACACTTAAAACATAAGCTGATTTTGAAATGTGACTAATTTTGTGTGACTAATTTTAGACATTTCACTATCGGATTTTATTTCAGAAGGTATGATTAAAATTAATGGATTATGTTGAGACTCACTTTTTCACCATTAGGTCCTTGATCTCCGACCTCTCCTGGCTCGCCAACATCACCCTTTTGTCCCTGATCTCCCTCTTCGCCCTGAGGTCCTGCAGGTCCCTTATCACCCTGTGGACCAGCGTTACCCTGTTCTCCTTGAGGTCCATCGTTTCCAGCTGAGCCTTGTTCACCGGGAGCTCCCTGTTCTCCATCTGGGCCTTGATCTCCAACAGCTCCATCACTTCCGTTGATAACCTCACCAGGCGAACCTAAATTCAATGAGTATTACAATTTCAGTTCGATCAAGCACAGTTCAAGACGGAAAATAATTCGATCGCGTATTCTATTAAAGTGTTAATGATACAGTTGTTTAATCATACATACTCCTGCAAAGCAGCATTTCTCCTGATTAATGTAATCTATGCAATTAACATACCTTGGGGTCCTTTATCACCATCAGCACCTGCTACTCCATCAGCACCATGACTTCCGTCGGATCCATCAGGGCCGTTGTCTCCTTGGGGTCCTTGTTCTCCTGGTCCTCCTTGGATTCCTGAGTCGCCATTGGGTCCTGCGAAATATTGTTTTTATTAATAAGTTCACTGCGTTACCATCACTTTCAGATTAGCTAATTTAAAATTTTAAAATTTTATCATCATTCCAAGCGTAACTGCGTTTCATGGAATCTGATAACAATGGTCATCAAAATTTAAAAAAAAGGTTAAGTGTCAAATAACTTCACCGCACCCTTTTCGCCCTCAGCTCCTGCTTCTCCTTGGGCACCCTTTGCTCCATCAGATCCGTCAGATCCGTCACTGCCGGGCGCACCTGAAAGTTGCTTACTGTTAGAAAGCTTTAATTCGTTATGCGAGCAAAAACATTTCATCCAATGTATTGTTTTTGTATATTAGAGCTTTAGCCACAGGTAGGTTGGTCTGCACGGAGCCCCACAGGATGATATGTTATTGATTGGATTCCAATCTTATCTCAAATAAATTGTGGGTTCCTCCCATGTAGCGGCAAAACAATCAAACGTCACACTTTCTAACGATAAGAGCATTAAATATACAATAATGTTGTGTTAACCTGCTTCTCCGCTTTCTCCGTTGGCTCCATCTAAACCGTCTGGTCCTTTCTCTCCCTGGGGTTCCTGGGTATCTGCACCCTGGTCTCCAGGTCCACCCTCTGATCCTTCAGGTCCATCAGATCCAGCTGGACCATCTTCTCCCTAGATCACAAGGTAATATTAGGGGACAAAGGTTTTTTAAAATACCATGTTTGGAGGTACCTTTAAGATGATGGAAACAAGGTATTTTCAGCTGGCACTCGATACTATTGATGTCACAGTTTAATTCGTTTCAATGGTCAATAATCCTGCAGCGATCGAGATCGCTAAATAAAATGGATTTTTATTGACTAATGATAAAGACATATTTGCACACCTGAAGACCGATGGGACCCATATCTCCCTTAGCACCATCTTCAGCATTGGTTCCGTTGCAACCATCAACACCAGTTACACCATCTTCACCATCCTCTCCTTCGATACCGGGTAACCCAGAAGGACCTACTGCTCCCAGATTTCCAGGTTCTCCCTGTTCTCCCTTAGCACCACTAGTTCCGTACGGACCACCAGCACCTTTAGGTCCTGCCAATCCAGCTGGTCCTTGCTCACCAACGGGTCCCATTTTGCCTGAAAGAAAAATGTAACATCATCTGAAGTTTCTGTATCCAGCTGAATTTTAATTATAAACTTGTAAATTGTCAAATTGTCATGTTAGAATAGTGATTACAAAACTTTAAACTGATACAGCGTAAAATAGAATCTAGACGAGTGTTACACCACAAACCTTCATGGCCGGCTGCACCTGCAGGTCCTAGGAGACCCCTGTCTCCCCTCATTCCTTTCAAGAATCTAGCTCTCTGAAATTTAATCCATAAGCTTTGATTCGAGTGTTGTATAGAAATAAGTATTATGCATGTTGCTTAAATATTACTATATAATAATATTTTAATAACAATATTTTAAGACTATAATAAGACTATAATAAGACTATAATAAGACTATAATAAGACTTTAATAATACTATAATAAGACTATAATAAGACTATTATAATACTATAATAAGACTATTATAATACTATAACAAGACTATTATAAGACTATTATAAGACTATTATAAGACTATAACAAGACTATAATTAGACTATTATAAGATTATTATAAGACTATCTTAACGCTTACCCTACGACAGCAAGCGGCTGGGTCTGCTTCAGCATCAGCGAACGCATCCGGATCTGCAGCAGGGTCGGCAGCTGCGTCAGGTTTAGCTTCAGGTTTCGCCCACGCAAGACACAGCACTAATGTGAACAGAATACTAAGCCTCGTTAGGCTTGCCATGGTGCTTTCAGTCGGCCAGCCCTAGCTGGGAGCTTGTTTTTTAGTTTGGGGTGAACTGAGGTTATATTACAATTGCTGGTAAAATCAATATTAGGATGTGTTAATTAGCGCGGAAAAGTTAGCATTCAAGTTAAATGCTCAAACAGTTTGAAAAGTTAATTAACAGTTATCAGATTAAAGTCGGCAAATCAACAAATGGTGCTTAAGCAACTAACGATATGAAGAAAAAAACCACGAATGTAAATCACAAATGAAGATCAAAAATGTAGATCAGATAAACATCACAATTAAAGATCTGTCTCTGTGACAAAAACGGAGGTCTGGTAGAGGTTCTGAGGACGACTTCAGTACCTTGAACAGAGGCTAGCTCGGAACCACTTCAACTAGATTCCTGATCTATCGAGACATAGCTAAGATGAGAAAAGTGGGTTAGTGTTATATTGGCGAGATATCTCCTTATATGAGTAACACGCGGGTTCCGAACAAGCCCCGTTTTAGAGCAGACAAATCCTTTGACCCGCATTTGTTGACAAAATAATTTTAAGGTTCTGTTCGGAAACACATTAATCTATGAGTAAATTATTTTGTATTTTATCAATTCAATCAGTTAAATTAATTGTTTTATAATTAATTAATAAATTAATTGTTTTATACTTTTAGTAAAGTCAATAAATACAAGTTATTATTGCTATGCGGGTAAACAAACTTTATAGTTAGCATGGTATACAAACAGTATAAAAGAGATTTTGTAAAATTATTAATTATTCATATCTATAAAGTTAAAAATTAATAAAAGGCAGGCAATCCTGCAAATAAAATTTCATCTAATCTTTATTTACAGATGTATAGGTAGGTTAGGAGGAACAAGTTGTTGTACTAATGAACTTAAATATGACCCAAACCTGACTTCGTAATACAAATTTACAATTTCTCGTCAGTTTGAAAACTGGGCCCGTTTAATAATATAAGCATATAAATAATAGAGACTAGTTCAAAAGTCCTGAGTAGCATAGAATTTCCTTTGAAAATTCGGCGATCGGAAATAATAATAAATTAGATAAAAGTTTAAAATCCTATTTCGTACATCATTCAACCGTTTTATTGCTTACAGTGTCTCAAAATCTTCTTGTCGGTTGATTTGAGTTCGCTCCAAAAACAGTAACAAGCTTTTTATAGAGCAAGGGTGTTCCTGGCACAAACGGTGCACTTAGCAACTCCTTGGTCAAGGATGTCGTCAAGACCGCTGTACACGTTACCCATACCCCACATACCGGGTTGGCTAGTGTCGGGGTTCTGGGCCAGCCAGTAGTCCAAGTTGTTAATATAATAAGCGCAAGTACCTCGTCCGAGACACTCAATGAAGGTTGGCAGGTAGAAGTTCTCCAGACAGGAACCAGATGAGGCGAGGTCTTGGCCTCCACCGGATACACCGGATGAGGTAACCTGCAGGTTTTATTTCTCTTAGACAGATCAAAACACAAGAACCAAAGTTAAAAGTAGGAGAAAGCGAATAAATAACAGCCAGGAAGCAAAGAAATCCAAACTAAAGGGTAATCAATATATTGTGTAATTCTGACTTACCATGACATAAGAATACCCTTCCCACAGTGGGCTGAAATCTTCAGGACACTCAGGAGCGACGTCGGTGAAAGAATGTCTGGCGAGGATATACTGAGTACCGAGGCAGACAGTACACCTTGAAATGTGTGGCACGATCTCGTCAATGCTGGTCATGGGCTTGATAGTATAGTCAGCCTCGGCGTCGACTGCCAGCCAGAAAGATTTGTCAGTTCGGACACCGTGTCTGCACACATCAGAGCTTGAGCACTGCATGAAAGGCACAAGCTGGAACTCCTCCAAGCAAGACCCTGAGAATGTTTGATTTAATCAAAAGAAAAAAGAAAAAAAGCAAGTTAACTACTTTTATGACCAATCCCTAGTCAATCCCTGGCTGAAAAGTTTTGAAAATTATATACGTAGATAAGAAAAAATTAAAATTTTATGTCTTACCAGCACTTCCTAGATCTTGGGAAAGTCCGTAGCCATTGCCTTCGAAGAATACAAGAGAGAATCCGGACCATAGAGGTTCGAAGTCAGTTGGGCATTCTGGTTGCTGAAACAAAAATCTATAGAACTAGAAGACAAAAGTGTAGGAAAAAAAGATTTTATGTTTTTGGTTTTCTAAATCAATGTGCATGCAAATGCAATTTCTAAAAATGTCATGTTACAAAATTAACATATAAATTACCTCAGTGGTCTGAGAGTGCTTAACGAGGACGTGAGTGTCGCAGTTACAAGGGGTGTAGTCGTCAGGCTGGCAATCTCCATCTGGTCCTTTGTCTCCCTTGTCACCATCAATACCTGGCTCTCCCTTTTCTCCTTGGATTCCAGCGAGTCCTTTAAGTCCAGTTTCTCCCTTGACACCTTTGTCTCCCTTGTCTCCATCCTCTCCTGGTGCACCAGTATCACCCTTAGCTCCCTGTGCTCCCTGTGCTCCATCTTCTCCGGGAGGACCTTGACTACCGGGGGTACCATCTGCTCCTGGGTTACCGTCCTCTCCTGGGGTACCAGGGCTTCCGTTAGCTCCTGGTTCTCCCTTGCCACCCTTAGCTCCTTCAGGTCCCTGAAAAGCATGTCTGTTAGTCAACGACATTAGCAGAAAAGCATAATTGTTACTCAAATGGTTCTAATCCCAAAATAAAACTTATGATCAAAACGTATGAGACAGTAAGTGGAAAAAACAAACCTGTGGGCCTGAATCTCCCTTATCACCAAATTCACTGTTTTCGAGAACAGTGTTGATGATCTCAATCCAGATGTAGTACTCAGGTGGAATGGGTGCTCCACTCTCGGCTTTGATGACGAAGAGGTTGCCATCAATACCTGGACCTCCTTTGTCTCCCTGGTCTCCTTTGTCTCCGTCCACACCCTAAAATTGAAAATATGTTCAATCTGTTACAGTATATATAAATAAAATAATATAATCAACTGCTGCACATGCTCAATTATAAATCGTAAGTTCATTGTGCGAAAGAGCATGTAGTCGTTAAATGATATAACTTACGGGTTCTCCTTTAGTTCCATCGATCCCAGAATCACCCTTTTCTCCTACGGCGCCAGAATCACCCTTATCTCCTTTGTTTCCTTCTGGTCCTTCTGGTCCATCATCACCCTTAGCACCTTGGTCTCCCTTTTCACCCTTCGATCCAGTTTCACCTTGTGCTCCTTGATCTCCATCCTCTCCTACAGATCCTTGTTCACCAACATCACCGACACCTCCATCACTACCGGGGGATCCATTCTCACCTGAACACATTTTGTCAGGTTAAAACTATTAAGGGATCCAGCACGGAATTGTTTGGTCAATTGGAGTATTGTTATCTAAAAATATATCGGAATGGTAAGATAAACTTTGCGTACCTGGTTCACCAACTCCAGCCTCTCCCTTTTGACCCTGTGCACCATCTGATCCATTTGGTCCTTGTTCTCCTTCTGGGCCAGTTGCTCCATCTGGGCCTGGAAGACCTTTAGCACCAGCATCACCCTGTTCACCAGGCTGGCCAGTCTCTCCTTGATCTCCTACTGGACCCTTGTCTCCCTGTTCTCCACGGGCACCTTTTGCACCTGAGTCTCCATCAACTCCAACGTCTCCAAGATCTCCAGGTGCACCCTAAAAAGTTCTTTATTAAACAAAAATTTTTTGGTCAGTATGCTGTATATGACAAGGCTGTGATTCATTCATCATAGGGAATTATAATGTCCACAAGCGAACTTAAGGTGTAGTAACATACCTTATCACCACTACAAGCTTCTTGATTGGCATCAACACCAGGGGCTCCCTTCCGTCCATCCTGTCCACTAACTCCAGTGAAACCTTTCTCTCCTAGAACTCCTGTAATGTGCATTTGCTAAGCAAAGCGTTTGAGGTCGATTTAATTAATTGCTTATAACTTTTCATCTCTACTGATAATGATTTTAAAAATTTGATGCGCGACGAAATGAAAACGAACCTTTTGGTCCCTGTGGTCCGTCGGGTCCCTCATCACCCTCGTCCCCTTTGTCTCCTTGCTCGCCAGTGTCTCCTTGAGATCCTTGATCTCCTGCTGGTCCCACTTGTCCATCGTTTCCGCTTTCTCCGATTGGACCTTGATCACCTTGTACACCTACATCGCCCTGGTCACCCTGTTCACCCTTTAGTCCATTGTTTCCACTTTCTCCGATTAGACCAGCATCTCCTGGCTCTCCTACCTCTCCTTGGGCACCATCAGCACCGTCGACACCATTTTCTCCGGCAGCTCCAGTTTCACCCTAAACAAGCGATAATTAAGCATTGAACAAATACTAGCAACAGATATTGTGTAACTATAATAGCAATATGCACAATGCTTATCCTTTCCCTAAAAGAGCTATATGTGACATAACTGTCACATTTTGTTGGAATAAGGTCCACAGATCAATACTTTTGGGGCATATGCTTACATAATCAAGATTATCGTTTTGTTAATTTTGTGACTAGTAAAATAAATAATAAACATAAATTTAACGATTTCATGAGCGCACCTTGGGTCCATTTGGGCCAGCTTCTCCTTGGTCTCCCTTGACTGAAAGTCCCTCAGCTCCGGCCACACCTTCAAGACCCTTAGCACCATCTTCTCCTGGTACTCCCTGGTCTCCCTGAATACCGGTGATTCCAGATGGACCTTCTCCTCCTTTGACTCCATCTAAACCTCTTGGTCCTTGACTACCTTTGTCTCCTAAAAAAATACAAACTGTAAAACGAAGAATATCACATTTTTAAGGTTTTTTAAAACGTAATTAATTATTGTGTAATTTTGCATCAAATATATTATATTTAAAGATGGTGAAACTGATGTTATCCAACTTATTTTTCACGGATTACTTAGAGATTTAGGAGCATAGCAGCAGATGATTTTACAAAATAGCAAGTATACAAATGTACAGCAAATCGAACAAACATATAGAATGGGCCGAAATGTATAAATGCTAAAAAGCGTGGGTCAGTAAAACAAGTACAGAGGACAAATTTTAGAACAGGAGTTTTTGGCCGCCCAAAGTCTCAATAACATCACATCCACCTAGATTGATATCCATAACCAATAAATACGTCATAAAACCAACAGCTGGCTTGTGAAGCACTAGCGAGGTGTTATTTCTCAGATAAAATCAAAATCCATTTTTAACTACAAACCTTTTTCTCCATTATCTCCAACTGGTCCTTGCACTCCCTTGGCGCCAGCATTACCATCTGGTCCAAGTGGTCCCTGTGCTCCAGCTTCTCCTTGAGGTCCTTGAGGTCCTTGTTCTCCTTGAGGTCCTTGGTCTCCATCGGCTCCATCGGCTCCATCCTTACCTTGTAACAATATAGGGGTTGTTCGATGACTAAATCGATGCAATCATATAAAAAGAGTCACATTTATTTATCGGCGATTGTAATAAATTAAAGACTATTTACGTTTCCGTTTGCCTGTATATCATCAAAAATTAATATTTTTGACGCCTACCTGGTTCGCCTTGGTTTCCAACATCTCCTTGGTCACCATCCTGTCCAGGTGCACCTTGGTCACCCTGAATACCTTGATCTCCCACATCACCATCTTCTCCATTTTCTCCGGGGACACCACTATCACCCTGATCACCTTGTTCGCCCTTAGGTCCCTGATCGCCAACATCTCCATCAGGTCCTTGATCACCTTGATCTCCATCAGGTCCATTTTGACCAGGTTCGCCAGGCACACCAGGTTCTCCTGCCTCGCCCTACAAACGGTCAATCTTTTTATCGTTATATATTTAATCGGCAATGTAGTAATTTTTAGCAGTTTCGTGTACCGTCGTTAACAATATAAATTATGTACTTTGGGTTTCTCAAATCAGTATTGTCAATAACTTACGGTTGCTCCCTTTTCTCCGGGAATGCTTTCTCCTGATTCACCCTGGTCTCCTTGATCTCCAGTAAGACCCTGTGGTCCCTGAGGCCCTGAAGGTCCTACCTCACCAGTGATACCTTGCTCACCAGGGTTTCCTTCTAGACCATCTACACCAGGCTCACCAGGCTCTCCTCTGACACCTAGAAAGGTTGGGAATGTTATATTAACAGGTGATTGTATTTGTACTTTTATACAAATTTATATTATCTGTAATCAGACTAAATCTTCTAGTTAAACACACTATTTAGAAGATATTATGGTTTTGGAATGAACTTGCCTTTAAGTCCGGGGGGTCCAGCTTGGCCAGGTGTTCCATCTTGTCCAGAAGCACCAGGTTCTCCGGCTTCTCCGGTGGCTCCCTGATCTCCTACATCTCCTACTGCTCCTTGGTCACCTTGGGCTCCTTTTGGTCCTTGAGGGCCATCAGCACCATTATCACCGTCTGAACCAGCATCACCATCAACGCCATTATCACCATCAAGCCCTGATGCACCTTTTTCTCCAGTTTCGCCCTGGTCACCTTCATCTCCCGCAGCTCCCTTTTCTCCTACGGCACCAATTTCTCCCTTATCTCCCTTCATTCCGTTTCCTCCTGGTAATCCATCGCCACCATTCTCACCTTGTTCTCCAACCTCACCGTCTGGTCCATCTGGTCCTTTGTCACCTTGTGCCCCTTGTTCACCAACAGCACCATCTGCACCAGGGTTACCATCTACACCGTTATTACCGTCAGATCCTGCGTCACCCTTGGGTCCAGTTGCTCCTTGATCACCCTTTTCTCCAGCATCACCCTCAGGTCCTTGGACTCCCTTGTCTCCATCAACACCAGGGACACCTGCTGCTCCTACGGGTCCATCAATACCAGTATCTCCCTGAGCTCCCTTTGCTCCAGTAATTCCGGGAGGTCCAGCATTTCCTTCAACACCCTTGTCTCCATCTGGTCCAACGGCACCTTCTTGACCTGGTTCTCCCTTCGCTCCAGCATTTCCATTGTCACCGTTATCTCCGGGGTTACCAGGGGTACCATCATTACCGTTATCTCCAGGGTTACCAGCATCTCCTTTTTCACCTCTCACTCCATCATCACCCTTTTGTCCAGTGATTCCTTCGGGTCCTAGATATTGAAATGTTATCATTTACTGTACCTATTTGTTATAAATTTATTTGTTTCCATGATTTAACCGTTGTAAGTGGAATCACCGTTAAAAAGAAAACGTATAAGTAAGGTTTACCTTGAACACCAACTTCTCCAACAACTCCATCTTCACCAGGCTCTCCTTGATCACCTTGTACCCCATCTTCACCATTGGCACCATCGTTTCCGGGTACTCCATTTTGCCCAGCTTCACCAGTGGCTCCAATTTCGCCAGGTTCTCCAGCAGCACCTGGGTCTCCGTTTGCACCGTCGTTACCATTAATTCCGGGGGTACCTGGCGCACCAGTGGCTCCAACAGCACCATCTTCACCTAGTAATAAATAAATGTTAGTTTACCATCACAGTAGTACCTTCTTTCGTTTAGTATTTCCCAGCATATTAACAGTTTTAGGCAGTTCGTGCCAAACATCTCTGTGGAAAGAGAGCCGTAAATTTCGTAAATTTCTATTACTGAAACGGTAACATCAAGAGATCCATGCCCTCTACCAAACAGCATTAAAAGCAATTGTACCTGGTTGTCCTTGAGGTCCTGCTTCACCATCCTCGCCCTTGATGCCGGGCTGTCCATTTATTCCGGTCATACCATCAGCTCCAGGCTCTCCCTTTATGGCTACACCATCAGCTCCAGACTCTCCTGGAATGCCTTGATCGCCAACTTCTCCCTGTTCCCCAATATCCCCCTTTGCTCCCTGGACGGAATCGCCAGCGGGACCTGGTTCTCCAACGGCACCATCAGCACCATTGTCTCCGTTTTCTCCTCGGGGACCTGATGGAAGGGTGGTTTCAGAATACAAATTTATCGTAAAATTCTTTTAGCTGACAATTGTCAAAGTATTTGTACAATACTTACAGTAGATGCTAGTATCATTTATGATTGATTTTAAAATCAAACTCTGACTTGTGAATAATAAAAATACCTGAATCTCCGACCGCTCCTTGAGGACCGACGTCACCTTGGGCTCCCTTGATACCATTGATTCCGGATGGACCATCTGGTCCTTTGTCTCCGGATTCTCCCTGAGGACCCTCCTCTCCGTCGTCTCCATCGGCTCCATCTTCTCCAGCCTCACCTTGAGCTCCCTGTTCTCCTTGCGCTCCCTTAGCACCGGCATCACCAGTTTCTCCTGTAGGTAGCAAAAGTCAATTTTAGCTTTTTGTTAACAATATTCACTTCAATTAGAAAAATTTCTCGGACAATAAATGTCACTTTAAAGTGTTTCGATTTTGACCTCGGGTGATGCTTGAGAGGTAATAACCCGCCAAGAACACATATTTTATGATAAAGATGTTTGGCTATTGGTGAATTTATAGAAAATAAATGTACCTTGAGCTCCTTGGTCTCCTTGGTCTCCCTGAATTCCTTTTACGTCGATGACTCGGTTTTCTCCGGCACTACCCTTTTTTCCGTCAGTTCCAGACTCACCATCTTTACCATCTTTACCAGCGGCACCATCATCTCCCCCTTCGCCAATCAGACCGGGCTCTCCAATAGCACCTTGATCTCCGGGTTCACCAACTGGTCCCTTTTCTCCTTGTGGACCACGGTCGCCACCAATCCCTGAAGGACCTTGCACTCCTTGATCGCCTTCGTCACCAACAGCTCCTTGTTCACCGTCTGGTCCTGGCTCTCCCTCGGCACCGTCTGGACCAGCTACTCCTGGATCACCAACAGCGCCTGTTTCACCTTGGGGTCCAGTTTCTCCTTTGGCACCATCGTCTCCGGGGAAACTTTCGCCAGAAATTCCTTGAGGTCCAGCGTCTCCCTTCTGTCCTGCAGCTCCATCATCTCCATTATCACCATCAGCTCCAGGAGCGCCTGGGATACCAGATTCACCTACAACTCCTTGTTCTCCATCCTCACCCTGGGGTCCTTGATCTCCCTCTGCTCCCTTGGTACCGGGGACGCCTACTTGACCGGGTTCTCCGTTAAGTCCAGGTTCTCCAGGTTCTCCAGTTTCTCCCTGAGAGACGAACATTTTGAATAAAGCTGTTTGCTTGATATAAATTAGTTAACCAGTCGTACTGTGAAAATACCTAACGAATTAATCATTTTAGAGAATTATTTTGTGAACTCACCTTATCACCAGTGGTTCCAGGGTTTCCGTCAAGTCCAGGTGCTCCAGGTTCTCCTTGGTCACCTTCTTGTACCTCACCAGCAGGTCCAGTATCTCCTTTGAGTCCTTGTTCTCCAGGGTTTCCGTCCTCTCCGGGTTCACCCTAGAGTTTCAGCTGTTAGTCAAGTGAAATTTCCAAGTGAAATCGTGCGATAATGTAGTATACAGTATATAATGATGATGTGATTGGTGAATCGTTACTTTAGTTTGCAGTTGATGATTTCTTGAATAAGATTGTTTTTGTTTTTTTTAATCAACAATTTTTACTCACAGGTTCACCAGTTGGTCCGATGGGGCCAGCTTCTCCTTTTTCTCCATCAGTACCATTGCAACCGTCCACACCAGGAGTTCCGTCAGCACCATCAACACCGTCAGCACCGTCCTGTCCAGGAGGTCCTGGGGGTCCTTGAGCTCCGGGTTCACCCTGAAGTACATTACATCGTTAATTTGCGAAAATACGAAACTGGGGTCAAGCAATAACAAGTGCAAATCATTTGATCGATAATAATTCTTAGATCTATCATATGATTTTACTTACACGGAAACCTTTCACTCCAACGATACCAGGGTTGCCGGCTTCTCCTTTTGGGCCAGGGGGTCCAGGTTGTCCATTTTCACCAACGGCACCAGGTGGTCCAGCGGGGCCATTTGGACCCATGGGACCTTGGATACCTTGAGGACCAGCTCTACCTGAAACAATAATCGATTAATTTCTTGTACGATATAATTTTACGGACTCTAAATTTGGACGATGCCATGATTTTAATTAAAAAATTCACATTGCGTATTTACTTCAAACATTAGAAACGAACCTTTTATGAATGTTGTTGGTCTAGAACAGCAAGAAGCGGGGTCGGGACCGGCTTCAGCCCAAGCATCGGCTTCAGCATCAGCCTTAACACACGCTACGAGGAACGCACAGAGGAGGACTACTCCAAGGAATTTTCGAGATGCCATCCTTCAGGGCCTATTATCGCATCCCTATTGTGACAAATCAGATTAGTGAACTAAAATAGGTAAGGTTATATATTTTCTTATCAAAAAGTTCTGGAAGTTTCATGTGAGGTATATTCATATTACAAAATCTGCGAACATAATCAAGTTTTATAGGGGGTTAACTTCGACAGCAAAAAAACAGCAAACACGTATATTGATTGCGGTGCCATTATGGTCGACCTCAGAACTTAATTTATTAAAATGTTACATGTCGAATCAAAATGTAGCTAATAAGTCCTGAGGGATGACCACTTGTTAATGTTAACAGTATACAAACATGGTTTAAAAGAGATTGCATAAAATACTTCATAATTTATAGTTATAAAATGAATAGTAAAAATATTTATAAAAACAAAATTTACTCTAATTTTATTTACAGATGATGGAAGTACCAGAGGCCTTTTAGGATTGCATCTAGAGTGGAGTAGGATAGTATTAGGACGAATATTGCAATGAAAATAGCAAACTTCAGCAGCAAAAATATAAAAAGCTGGTATAATAAAAATAAATTAAGATAAAGTTTAAAATCCTACATGTACAAAAGTGCTCGTACATCAAAATCGTTTAAACGCCATGGTTCGTTATATACAATCCAATTGTTCATCTAGACGGTATTTCTGGCACAGACTGTGCATCTAGCGACTCCTTGGTCAAGGATGTCGTCAAGACCACTGTACACGTTACCCATACCCCACATACCGGGTTGGCTAATATCGGGGTTCTGGGCTAGCCAGTAGTCCAAGTTGTTGATGTAGTATGCGCAAGTACCTCGTCCGAGACACTCAATGAAGGTTGGCAGGTAGAAGTTCTCCAGGCAGGAGCCGGAAGAAGCAAGGTCCTGACCACCACCAGATGTGCCAGATGAAGTTACCTGGGTGAAGTATTTTGTTATCAGTCCAACACAAGGTTGTGGTTTTCGTGGAACAATGTGGTGACCAAAATATTTAATCAAGCAAAACAAATATGCGAAAGGAAGAAAACTAACCATGAGATATGAGTAGCCGGTCCAAAGTTCGTGGAAGTTATTTGGACAATCAGGGGCTGTGTCTTTGAAGGAATGTCTTGCGAGGACGTATTTGGTTCCAACACAGACTCGGCACCTTGAAATATGTGGCACAATCTCGTCAATGCTTGTCATGGGTTTGACGGTGAAGTCAGCCTCGGCGTCAACAGCCAGCCAGAAAGATTTGTCAGTTCGGACACCGTGTCTGCACACATCAGAGCTTGAGCACTGCATGAAAGGCATCAGTTGGAACTCCTCGAGGCAAGATCCTGAAAGTGTTCAATTTTAAGAACGAAGTTTGCAAACTAAAAAGTGCAGGCAATAATCATTGATTGTAGATATTTACGATTTGCTTGAGATTCAACCACGGTTTTAACATGCTTACCGGCGCTTCCAAGATCTTGTGAGAGTCCGTAGCCGTTGCCTTCGAAGAACACAAGAGAGAATCCAGACCACAGAGATTCGTAATCTGTAGGACATTCTGGGGCCTGAATGATATGTTTTTAAAAACCACTGTCCATGGTAGTAAATACCAAACATGTGCAACGAAACCCTCAGAAATTGACAATTGAAGAAACTAAACAAATTTATTATTTGTCATTCTTACTTCGGTAGTTTGAGAATGTCTGACGACGGTATGTGTGTCACAGTTACAAGGATGGTACTCATCAGGTTCACACACTCCCTCAGGACCCTTTTGTCCCTTAGATCCATCATCTCCTTGTTGTCCCTTTTGTCCCTTGATTCCAGCAAGACCCTTTTGACCAGGTTCACCGGCCTCTCCTAAAATTAACCAAAGTTAAAGATTGTATCATTGGCTCATCACCAAAGGGAGAAATTAAGAAATTCAAATTTCTACTGTTTCTATACACGAATAATATTGTAGTTTTAAAACGTTAAATCATGCTGCGGTACGAACCTGAGGGTCCATTATCGCCATCGTTTCCAGGAGCTCCAGTTTCTCCCTTAGCTCCAGTTGCACCGTCATCTCCATCTCGGCCGGGAATTCCATCAACTCCATTCTCAGCGGGGTTTCCATCTACACCGTTGATGCCGTTAGCTCCATCGCTTCCAGGAATACCGGGTTCTCCCTTTATTCCTTGTTGTCCAGCAGGTCCCTAGTGAAACCAGACTATTAAAACAAATGTTTTCTTATTTAAATGTTTGGCAAAGGTGTAGACATGAGTTTTGTAGACATGACGGTAGACATCATTTAAGATCTCAATATGAATAACATATCATTTTAAGGTACGATTTTCTTTATCAACTTACTTCTAATCCACGTTCTCCTTTTTCGGCCAGCTGAGTGTAGTTCAACACTTCGCTAATAAGATTGACCCAAACAACGAATTCTTTAGTTTGTCCACCGGTTTCGGGATCGACAACAATAAGGATGTTTCCGTCTTCTCCCCAATCTCCAACGACACCCTTCTGTCCTCTGGGTCCTGGTGCACCCTGGCAAAATAAAGCCGTCACCATCAAAACGGATTAACATGTTATGAAAAATTGTAAATGACTCAGAATATTAGAATCATAACCACAGGAGAATTTGATTGCTTTTTCACACGATTTATTTGTAATTGACATCACAACTTACAGCATCTCCCTTTTCTCCGTCGGCACCGGCTTCTCCTTTAGCGCCTGCGTCTCCACCGACTCCCTGTTCTCCTTGAGGTCCTTGAGGTCCAAGAGGTCCTTGAACACCCTTGGCTCCAGCATCTCCCTGTGCGCCCTGTTCACCAACGTTTCCTTGGTCTCCAATTGGGCCCTTTTCACCTTGTCGGCCTGGTTCTCCAGCAGCTCCCTTTTCACCATCAATTCCATCAATACCAAGGTTACCTTTGAAAAACAGGCACCATTAGAAATTGACCCCTTGTTTGAATTCCAATTGTGCAATTATACAAAAGCACAATGAGCAGCGTTATAAAGCATTGGTTGGAGTTTCAAATTTAATAAGAGACAAAAATAACTTACCTTGGGTTCCGACACCAGCTTCTCCCTTTTGTCCAACCTCTCCGTCAGCACCAGGCTCTCCAACTGCTCCTTGTGGTCCATCAACTCCAGATTCTCCAGCCTTTCCATCCTGTCCTGTTGCTCCTTGCATACCGGGTTCTCCATCATCTCCCTGTTCGCCTTGAGGTCCAGAAACTCCCTTGTCTCCTACGGCACCTGCTTCACCAGTATCACCAGAATCTCCCTCGGCTCCTAATGGGCCTTGTTCACCCTGTTAATTAGATAATTAGGTAATGGAAACATGTAACTTTTAGGTAGATATTAAACTGACACTCATATTTTTGTTGGCGGAGAATTTGCTTACCGTTTTTAAAGATACTACTATACCTGCTGCTTTCATATACTAATTACTGCTGATTTCACGTGCTAATTAATAATTACACTAATTACACTAAAATGGAAGGGACTCGATACGGCTCTAGCTCCAATTTAAATTTTGGTGTGATCATACTCAGTATGAAGGAATTTTCTGAGATACAGTAAATTTAGTGGAAGCTACAAAACTAACCGGTTCGCCACGGCAGGCTTGTGGTTTTGCACTTTCACCGACAGGACCATCATTCCCATTAGCCCCGGCTACTCCTTCGAATCCCCTGATCCCTTGCTCTCCTGAAGAAAGATCAAGCTGTGAATTTACTATCTTACGTTTAAAAAATATTACAATTACTCGTTATGTATCCGGATTTGGACAATGAGGTATGTCAGGAACTAATAACTGAAACTTACTAAACCTTAAAACCTGACTAAAAATAGATAAAACGTACTGAAACTAATTAAACAGAATAACCGAAACTTACCGGGAATACCGACTGGTCCTTCAATTCCTTCAATGCCCTGAATGCCCTTAGCTCCCTGTAGTCCTTTTGCGCCTTGGTCTCCAGCGTCTCCTTGCTCACCATCAGCTCCATCATTACCAGGCTCTCCCTTGGATCCACTAGCACCTTTTTCTCCTTCAACTCCTTGGTCTCCTTCGTCTCCATTTTCGCCATCAGGACCAGTCTCACCTTGAGCTCCGGCTTCTCCGTTAGGTCCTTGTTCTCCTTGGGCTCCAGCGTCTCCGTCGGTTCCTGGTTGTCCCTTAGCACCAGCTTCTCCCTGAAATAACACGTTTAATACCTCTATGATGCTACCTTGGTTAGATTGATTGGAACTTCTGAGAAAACAGAAACCTTTTAGTTGACAGTGTTCCTAGTATCATAATGTTCTAGAATAAAGTCCTGAATACTAACGAGCTATAAACATGTTAGTAACTCTAACAACCTTGTAAAACAATGATACATTATAAAGTAAACACGCTACCTGTTCGCCCGGTTCTCCGGTGGATCCAGGTTCTCCCTTGGATTCGTGGCCATCTGGACCTTCATCACCCTCTTCTCCATCGGCACCAGCATCACCAGGGTCTCCAACTGCACCCTTAGCTCCCTTGAAACCAGTAGATCCGGGGAATCCGTTCATACCATTTTCTCCTGGTGGACCTTCTTCTCCTTGTTCACCTGGCCGAACGTTTTAATTCAAAAATCACATACGTGCAGCCTATAGAAATGGCTTTTAAGTGAATACCTTAAAGTATATAGTGAACACGAGGGATGAAACACACAGCAGGAATAATGGCAGTCAGAGCGGTGATATATTGTTTTAATACTTTCAGCACTACTATATAACAAATAATTTGAGGAAACCATGTAAATTGTAACCAATTTTAATGCTGTCATGGGGTGGCAAGTACCCATACATCGTGGTCCGGTAGTTTCATTGCGTCATAATATAGTAATATGACTCTTACCCTTGGCTCCAGCCTCTCCGGATGAGCCTTGTGCTCCATCGTCTCCATCTGGGCCTTGCTCTCCCACAGCTCCTTGATCTCCAGTTGGACCCTGGGGTCCTTGTGCTCCAATATCACCAGGTTCTCCTACTGCACCCTTTGCTGCATTTTCACCATCGTCTCCTGAAGGAGATATCTGGTTATCAAAAGTAAAAATATAATAAAAATATATGCGCCCGACATTTTATTGATCATAGTTTTTATACAATTTTTTATCTTTTACCTAGTAATTTAATTGGTTGTCCAACTAACTGTTTTCCACTCGAGACGATGATCGAAAACATCATGAAACATTTTTGAAATTTTCAAATAATTTCCTACTAACCATCAGGTCCCTGAGCACCCTGGGGTCCAAGAGGTCCCTTATCACCCTCAGCTCCTTCATCACCCTGAGGTCCCTGGGCTCCTTTGTCTCCATTGCTTCCGGGTTCTCCTTGATCTCCTTGGTCTCCTTGGTCTCCGACAGATCCAGGATTACCAATTTGTCCCTTTTCTCCTTGATCTCCATCAGGTCCGTTATCTCCTTCACCACCGTCTTCACCAGGGTTACCAGCTTCTCCTTGAGCTCCTTGGTCGCCCTGAACAAGACCAGTTGGGTAAATATTTATAATAGGAACTGAGTGAGTTCGGACAGATAGAATTTAAAAGTAGACAGGAAATTAAAGTAGCTGAATTGAAAACGAAGACACTTCACGTACCCACACTCACAGACGGCTGGCTTCTCAATAGCACAAATTGTTTACATTCTTTATTCTTTTTGTGACGCAGGCAAATTTGTTTATTGCGCGGTTCGCGGTGCTCGTAAATGAAATGGAATAGACTGACACTTTTAAAAGTTACTGTAAGATAACTTACCGCGCTATAAAATAATTAAGTTTATTGTAAAAGAACGAAGTTTGCAAACTAAAAAGTGAAGCCAATCATCATTGTACGTAGATTAGGTTCCAATTTACGATTTGCTTGAGATTCAACCGCAGCTTGTTTATTGTAAGTTTATTGTAAAAGATTTGTGACAGCATTTTAAAATATGTGATGTTGACAAAAGTTTCAAACTCTTTGATGGACGATTCCCTTTTAGTAGGCTTTTTTCACATTTTGGACCATACAATATATAATTAAACAATACACACGCTCACCGCACACTCCTAACATTATTTAGCTATTTAATTTAGTTATGTAGCTAATTTAATTCACAATCATTGAATATAATGATTGTTTTTGTATTGGTCAGCACTCAGCATAATAAGGTTTAAAATCGAATTTGCTTCGGCGTTCAACATATAATTGATACTTTTACAAATGCATAATATATTTGTTAGCTTCTTCCAGTCAGTGATTTTTGTAAAGCATGATTCGAAGTAAAAAAGTTAACCAAAAGCAGGACTGAAAAAGTCTCCGTCAAATTTTTTCTCAGAAAATTCAAAAGGTTCAAGAATTCAAACGTACAGGATACTTATTTACGTTTTATGTAATTTTTGAACTGATGGGACTGTTTACGACATTTTGCAGAAGCATTAAAATTTCACTTTTTGTAAAACAATTTATTCAAATAAAAACTTTATAAGTAAAAGTTATGATACAATTCATTTAGAAAATGAAATCAATTACTACAATAATCAATGATCTAACCATGTTTTCAAACAGCCAATTCATCAAATAAATTACAAAATTAATGGATTTCGTTACTCATTATCCAATATCCACGTTATCCTGCCCCATAACCCTCAGCACCTCATATGTTAGTCACCGCCCAGATTTTTTGCCGTCGATAGAAACCGATTTAACGTTAAGAAGGGAGTCAGGATTAATATCAGGTTATGATTATAAGTTAGGTAAAATGCTAGGATTGTTGTAACAGAAAGAGATTATGGTGGAGTTATTTGGGCAGGACAGTGTTAACCCATGGCTATTAGTATTACCTTGATTCATCTATAAATGTAGTTATACAAAGTTGTACTATCAACAACTTTATTTTAACAACAAATAATTACAACGTACTCCACAGTGACATTGCATTTGAAGGATCGCATACGATTGTTACCTAAAAACATCCTAAACCCAATGTACGTCCCCAGCTATACAATAATACAAAAATAATGTATTCGAAATATTGCAAATATTCCGAACAGTTGGATTATTCCAGTTTTCAAAGTTACAATGATCCTGACTCGTTACGATTGTTGAACCCTATTTTAACAGTAGTTTTGATCTAGAGGAACCTTTTCTTTCGCGATGGTAGTTTCTTGGCGCACACTGCACATCTCGAAAGGCCCTCATTCTGAATTTCGTCCAGTCCGTTGTAAATCCTTCCCATGCCAAACATTCCTGGAATAGGATCCTTCTTGGCAGCGAGCCAGTAATCGAGGTTGTTAACATAATAGGAGCACATACCCCTCCCAACACACTCTATAAAGGATGGAAGGAAGAAGTTCTCCATACAACTGCCAACAGATCCCAGGTCCTGTCCTCCTCCCACACCACCACCTCCAGTTACCATCAGGTAACTGTACCCGGCCCAAAGTCGCTCCCAGTTGGCGGGGCACTCTGGGATCTCGTTACTGTAGCTGTGACGAGCCATGGAGTATTGGGTCCCAGAGCAGACAGCACATCTACTGATGTACGGTAGGATATCCTCCTCTGTCTTCAGGGGAGCCATGGCTTTTATGTCGTCCTGACCGTTGGTAGTCAGCCAGAATGACTTGTCCGTTCTAGAGCCATGCTGGCACACGTTTCGGGAGCCACACTGCAAGAAGGGCATCACTTGGAACTCCTCCATGCAACTGCCAACTCCTCCCAGATCCTGGTTCAAGCCGTAGCCTTGGGATTCGAAGTACACTAAACTATAGCCGCTGTAGAGCTCGACCCAGTTGGGAGGACAGGATGGTACCCGGTCAGTTTGGGAGTGCCTGGCTATGATATGGGTGTCACACGTGCATGGGAACTCCTGGAACCCACAATCACCACCACAGGACCCCGTTCCTCCTGGCTTGCCGTCTCTCCCACCCTCTCCTTTCTGTCCCTTAGACCCGTCAATACCTGATCTTCCTGAGGCTCCCTTCATACCAGGTAGACCGTAGTTACCAGGATTACCAGGATTACCTTGCTTTCCATCTCTTCCTAGCTGGCCGGCTTGTCCAGCGTCTCCCTGGATACCCTGTTTTCCTTCCGGACCTTGAGGTCCAACACGTCCCTGAGGTCCAGCGGGTCCCATTTCACCCTTTTCACCCCTAGCACCTTTTATACGCTCACCAGCCGCAGCACCGTCACCTCCTCCACCATCGCCTTTTCTCACTCCGATGAAAGGATCTTCAGTAGGAGAGGTATCACAAGTAGCCGGACACATACCAGGCTCCCCTTTGTCTCCAAAGCCTCCTTTCATTCCGGCTGGTCCAGGCAGTCCAATTGGTCCAATTTGACCCATTTGACCCTTTTGTCCCTGAAAAATCGTTAGTCAATGTAAATGTGCTTGGTTTGCAACTAATTTAAGGTTTGTAGAAGACGTTGATTTGTAAAAAAGGAAGCTTCAAAAGCACGAAGTAGACTATCTGGAAAGATAGAAAAGTCGCAAAGACGAGTTCGTACCGGAAGACCATTGATACCGTCCACTCCAGGAGCACCATTTGCTCCATCTCTACCAGGATACCCATCGTTGCCGGCATCTCCATCCCGGCCGTTTCTTCCTGGATCACCTTTAGTTCCGATCTCACCAGCTTTACCCTTACTACCAGGCGTTCCTGGAAGTCCTTGTCGGCCTACTCCGTCTTTTCCGCCTTCTCCTTTATATCCTCGAGGTCCTAGACTTCCCTTTTGTCCTTTAATTCCAGGTTGACCCGGCAATCCCTAAAAACCGGTCAGGAATTTATTTAATTGGCATTGTAAGAAGAAACTAAGTTATCTGATCAAAGTTTTCATTCAGTTCTAAGAAATATAATGTCATGGAACGTGTCTATATTTTCTAAAAGAGAAATATAACGAAAACTATAATGTACTTACCACTTTTCCCTCAGGACCTTCAGCGCCATCCGCACCTGGAAGACCTCCTTGTCCAGGATTCCCATCACTCCCAGGGTCACCAACCTCTCCAAGACTTCCCTTTTCACCTCTAAGACCAGCTTTACCCATTTCTCCTTTCTCTCCCTGTGCACCAGGAGGTCCTATAACACCGGGCCCTTCGCTACCTCCTGGAGACCCACGTTCTCCCTTGATACCTTTGAGACCCTGAATACCGGGGAACCCGGGCACACCTGCCTCTCCTTTTCGTCCTCCAGGCCCATCTTTTCCGTCATTACCCTGCTGTCCTGGAGCTCCTTGTTGTCCGAGACTTCCAGTAGGTCCACGAGGTCCGGGTTGTCCGGGACTACCATTTTGTCCATTCCGTCCATCCGCACCTGGATATCCCCTTTCTCCATCAACACCGCCATCACCTTTTGTTCCTTTAGCTCCTGGGACACCGGGAAATCCTGGGTTCCCCTTCATGCCAATGTCTCCTCGAGCACCCTTAGACCCAAGTGCACCGTTACTACCGTCTTTGCCGTTAGACCCAGTTAAACCCTGAGGTCCAGGTTGCCCCGGATTTCCTGGTGGACCAGTTATGCTCTGGCCCGGTAAACCATTTGATCCTTCAGATCCACGATCTCCCTTTGCACCAGCTCGACCATCTTGTCCTCCTATTCCTTTTGGACCCGGAATTCCCGGGATTCCCTGAGGTCCCACGTCACCAGGGGTGCCGTCTTTTCCAGAGGCTCCGGTTGCTCCGTTTACTCCATTCAAACCTTGACCTCCTTTCATACCAGGATCTCCTTTTTGCCCCTGTGGTCCAGCTGCCCCACTACCACCAGTGTCTCCCTTTCGACCGTTAGCTCCGGCTTTTCCATCATTTCCTGGGATTCCAGGTCTACCAGGTTCACCTCCAAGTCCCTTCATTCCCGGTATTCCTGTTAACCCGTTCTCTCCTTTTTTACCAGAGGAACCGTCCATTCCTCGTGGGCCTTGAAGACCCTGGGTCCCATCAGATCCACTATCTCCTTTTTGTCCTTTACCGCCGATGGCTCCTTTTAGCCCATCAGTTCCTGGTTCTCCAGGGACACCACGAGGACCAGGGATGAACACTTCATTCTCTTTCACGTTGCGTCCAGGGACACCCGGTTCACCCTGCAAGTTCAAACACATGAGTCGTAGCTTGGTTAATATCTAAGCTGTGCTTCAAAGAAAGTCCCCGCAAGTGATGCTGCTCACACAGTAACAAAATAACATAACGAATATCATGTCAGTTAAGTTACTGACGAAATTCATCCACAAAAGTAGCGTATCATGATACGAAACATTTTCGAAACAAGAACACGAAACAAACGAAATTCAGCTACATTGGTAACCTATCAAACAAAATTCAGCTACATTGGTAGCCTATCAAACGAATTCAGCTACAGTGGTAGCCTATCAAACGAAATTCGGCTAAATTGGTAGCTTATCAAACGAGTTCAGCTACAGTGGTAGCTTATAAAACAAATTCAGCTACATTGGTAGCCTATCAAACGAAATTCAGCTACATTGGTAGCCTATCAAACGAATTCAGCTACATTGGTAACCTATCAAACGAATTCAGCTACATTGGTAACCTATCAAACGAAATTCAGCTACATTGGAAGCCTATCAAACTATTTCAGCTACATTGGTAGCCGATAAAATAAAAATATTTGCAGTGATAGCCTATCAAATGATATTCGGCTATATAGGCAGCTTTTTTGTATATCTAAGAAATTTTTGCTGTCAAATGCCCATACATGTATTAAAAGCTGCTAATCTACGAAAAAATCTTATTCTAAAATAATTCTTTGACGCACTCAGACTTATTCAGTATTCACGGCACTCAGTATACTGACAATAAGTTAAAATGCTTCACGTAAAACCAACAAACGAATAGGGAGCATTTAAAACACGACCGAAACTTACAGTGGCGCCCTGTTCTCCCTTGATGCTTTCGCCGGCTTCTCCTTTTTCTCCTTGGTCTCCTTGAGGTCCCTGGGGACCTTCAGGTCCCTCGGGTCCCTGTTCTCCTTGGGGTCCTTGGTCTCCTGGGGCACCATCAGCTCCGTTTTGTCCAGGCTGACCTGATTCTCCTTGACCACCTGAAAAGATTAATCATTAGATATCAAGCTTTTAAATAAACTGCACTGTAAGTATCGACATTGTCAATCAAAATGTTTCGACGTGTTCATGACTTCAAAAAAAACTTTATCAATGGTCTTAAAGCAAAAAAACAAAACTTATGATAATTCAGTACATCAATAACACACCTTTTCCTCCGGGAACTCCGGGAAGTCCCTCAGCTCCTTCCTGACCAGGTTCTCCAGGCTCACCAGTCTGTCCAACCTCTCCGGATTCACCAATGTCTCCTTTTTCTCCAGTGGGACCTTGGGGACCTTGTTCTCCTGGACTACCGTCCTGTCCTGGCACACCATTGGAACCTGGGTTTCCATTTTCTCCATTCTTGCCACTCTCACCGGTGGGTCCTTGGTCTCCTTCATCACCAGCATCTCCCTTGGCTCCTTGTTCTCCAACATCTCCGTTATTACCTGCGTCTCCTTGAGGTCCCTTGGAACCTGGAGTTCCTGGTAAACCATCTTGTCCAGAATCTCCCTGAATTCCCGCGGGTCCTTGAGCTCCTTGAGGTCCTTGGTCTCCCTTTTGTCCAATTTCACCAACATCTCCGTTGGCTCCATCGTTACCGTTTTGTCCATCAGATCCGGGGTTTCCAGCGTCTCCCTTAGGTCCCTCCTCACCAACAGCTCCTTGATCTCCCTTAAGTCCTTGAGGTCCCTCATCTCCGTCGACACCATTTAATCCGGGGACACCAGCATCACCTTCAGGTCCATCTTCTCCATTGGCTCCTTGTGCACCCTTATCTCCAGGAGCACCAGGGGGTCCGTTGTTTCCGCTCATGCCTACTTCTCCTTTGGGTCCTTCAGCACCGTCTTGACCGACTTCTCCCTTGGCACCATCCTCACCAGATGCACCATCGGTTCCATCAACACCGTTATCTCCATCAACACCGTTTTCGCCATCACTACCAGTCTCTCCTTTGTCTCCTGCTTCTCCTTGGTTTCCCTTGGCTCCAGCAACTCCGGGAAGACCTACAAAAATGCAACATTGTTTTATCTGCGCATAAATTCAGATACAGAACCATCTTAAATCGAATGATAAACTGGAAAGCGATAACAACTTAAATTGGTTAAATTACAAAGGCAATTATACTTAAAGAATACTGAACGTCAATATTTATTAACCTTCAAGTCCTTGATCTCCCTTTTGTCCCTGATCTCCTGCAGGTCCCTCGGGTCCTTTTAAGCCATCAGCACCATCGTTACCGTCTACACCGTTAGCGCCATCAGCTCCAGGTTCACCTGTGGCTCCATTTTCTCCTTGTTCTCCCTTTGCTCCAGGATTTCCGTCACGGCCGTTAGCTCCATCTGAGCCGTTCTCACCTGGCTCACCAGTAGCTCCAACAGCACCGGCCTCACCTGAAAAAATACGTTAACAACTTTTCTTTCATAGTGTTTAAATTCAAGAAAATACTTGGAAAGAAGCAAGAAAATGTATACTATCGCAAATATAAAATGAATTATTGCGGAGTTTAAAACATACCTTGTGCTCCTTCGTCACCGGGCACTCCATTTTCACCGGGAGCTCCTTTAAGACCAGACACTCCTGGTAATCCAGGGGCACCTCCATCTCCTTTCACTGATGCACCGTCTTGTCCAACGGGACCTTGTTCTCCTTGCTCTCCTTGCTCTCCTACCTCTCCTTGATTTCCCTTGATTCCTTCGAGAGCATCTCCGGGAATACCAGGTTCTCCTTTGCTTCCATCAGCACCGGGGTTACCGTTGGCACCGGGGTTACCTGTAAAGAGTAAATGTTTAGACATTGGGGTCGGCAAAGAACACCTAGATTTGAACGCAACAAAACTCAATTAGTGGCTGTATAGTATATTTTTGTGACTTCTTACCATCAGCTCCCTCAGGTCCCTCTGGGCCCTCTTCTCCCTTGGCGCCCTTCACTCCAGCGATTCCAGGCATGCCCTCTGATCCAGCCTCTCCCTTTTCTCCTTGGGCTCCTGCATCTCCAGGTACACCGTTAGCACCAGCAACACCCTTCTCACCGGCGTCTCCAGCCTCACCAGTTAATCCAACTGCTCCCTCTTCTCCCTTTTCGCCTGTTCACATTATCAGAATGACGTTTACGAATCGGAGTTTTTATTTCGATAATTAAATTTTAGATGAGCAGTGATCTGTAAAAATGTTTTGATAGAGTTTCATGTGATATGTTGGTAAAAGATGTAAGTCTGCCCTTATCTAAATAATAACGAATAGCAACTCACCTTGAGCACCGACCTCTCCAATAACTCCTTTAGGTCCTTCGATGACGTCTAATCTGGTCTCACCAGGGTCACCCTTGGGTCCGTTCTCTCCAGGACTACCAGGAGTTCCATCTTTACCATCATCTCCAGGCTCTCCAGTGTCTCCCTTATCACCAAGAGCTCCGGTAGCACCGGGATCTCCGATTTCTCCTTTAGGCCCTTGGTCTCCGGACGGTCCCCGTTCGCCTTCGTCACCTTGAGGTCCCTCAGGTCCTTCGGGTCCTTGATCACCTTTTTCTCCCTGGGCTCCAACATCACCTTGGTCTCCTTCAACTCCCTTCAATCCAGAAGTACCAGGAATGCCAGTTTCTCCCTTTTGACCAGCTGCTCCGGGTTCTCCAGTGGCTCCATCGTTTCCAGGAACACCAACACCATCCTCGCCAGGCTCACCCTGCTCTCCAATGGCACCTTCAGCTCCATCTGCTCCAGGAATGCCAGGTGCTCCGTCGAGTCCATTATCTCCCTGTTCTCCTTGTTCTCCCTGTTCTCCTTGAGGTCCCTGAGGTCCTGGTTCTCCAGAGGCTCCTTTAGCTCCGGCTACTCCAGGAAGACCATCATCACCATCGTTTCCATTGTTACCAGCTTCTCCTTGGGCACCCTAAAATAAATTATTTTTACTCGTCACGATTATTTTGAAAAATTAATCTTAATGAATGATCAAAGAACTTCTCAAGAAATCCTGAAATAGAATTTGCTCAAAGCTACCCTGGCGAGGTTAGTGAATTTTAGTTGTCCAGAGTTATGTATATTGTTTAGGCCAGAATAAAATATTATTGGATGAATTGTGACAGTTTTCTTGTATACCTTGGCACCAGGAGCTCCAGGCAAACCATCTTGACCAGGTTCACCAGGTTCACCAGCATCACCATCGAGCACATTACCAGGTAGACCAGGTTCACCAGCGGGTCCTTGATCTCCAGGAGTTCCGTCTTGGCCGGGTTCTCCCTACAATGAAACTTCATTAGTTTACTGTAAACTTAATATCAAAGTTTTAAAATTATTCGAACTTCCGCTCTAAAATGATGTTTACGTTCAGTTATGTTGTGAACGTTCACAAATAAAGCTTTTAACTTAAGATCATATTGACGTAAAAGCTCAAAAACTTGTGCTCACCTTAAGTCCGGTAGATCCAGGTTCACCATTAGCTCCGAGTTCTCCGTCGGTACCATTGCAACCATCGAGACCTGGAAGACCGTCTTGTCCATCAATACCGTCTTGTCCATCAGTTCCACGTGGTCCAGAAGGTCCTCGGCTGCCAGGTTCTCCCTAGGTATAAGGCATTATCATACGTGTACTTCACAATGCCTTAATTTTATCAACTTGGCTACTTTGTTATTCGTATGTTTAGTAGGCCTTTTAAACGATAAATTTACAACCAAGTTTCATTGCTAAATATCAACTAAAAGGTTGATTGCGGAATTATCGGGACCTTCAATCCTGGGCATTTAATCAAGAAAGAGGGTTTCTAAAAAAACATATTTAATGTATCAATCACTTACTCGGACTCCCTTCATTCCAGCAAGACCGGGGTTACCCCGTTCTCCCTTGGGTCCAGGTGGGCCATTATCTCCTTGAAGACCAGAGTTTCCGGGTGGACCAGCGGGGCCTTCGGGCCCTTCTGGACCTTGGACTCCCTGGGGACCTTGTCTACCTGAAGGGATTGGTAAGTTTTAGGAGGATTTGTAAACGTTTTCAAAATATTAAAATACATTCATAGTGATTGGTAAGTTATTTGTGGAATTTCAAGGCATAGGTAAGCGCTTGATATGGAACGAATAGCGGCCCAACACCCATACTAACGATAAAATTCTTAAAAGGGTATTCTTAAAAGGGTATAAAAGTATTTCTGTCATAAATATTGACTTTTGATGTGTTTCACTGCTGAATAAGTCGATTATAATTACCTTTCACGAATGTTGTGGGTCTGGAACAGCAACCAGCGGGGTCAGCTTCAGGATCAGCTTCAGCCTCAGCGTCGGCTTCTGCATCAGCTCTAACACACGCTACAAAGAACGCGTACAGGAGAACTACTCCAAGGAATTTTCGAGATGCCATCCTTCAGGGCCTATTATCGCATCCCTATAAGTAGAATGGTAAGTCGATGGTTATTGTAATTTGGCGGGTGTTTTTATTTATTCGAATCGAGTGATTCATGCCAACCACAAAACCATTGTAAGAATGGCACTATTTCGGCTGGAAATACTCCAAGTGGTAGGTAGGACTGAAAGCCTTTACATCTTAAGGAGTATGCACGAAACTTAGAACTAAATAGCAAGCCTTTGGATCGACGGTCTGTGCATGCTAAAAAGTAATAAGTTGAATTAATTTCAGTGATCGTGTGTGCAATGGGTATGTTTACGCGAATCTGTCGTGAAAAAATCCTGCACGCATACAGTGGAAACACAGTCAGATCGAGCTGAAAAGCTTGCTTGATAACAGGCACTCGTTTACCATGAACAGCATCAAACTAAAGAACAGGACATGAAATGAAACTGTATGTAATGGGAAACTTCGTTTGTCAAAAGCAAACGCCCCGAACTATTTAAATCTCAAATCAAGGAGAACCTTTGACGACACTTCTAGGATATTTAAAGAGAAGAGCGTACTTCTCACTCGCTTTGGAGCGTAAACACCAGCATGAAACTACCCGGTTACTAGGTTGGGGCGTCATTCAGATACGGCACCTTACATGATGATGTTTTTAAAATATCATGTTTTAAAAAGTAACCCTTCTTCGTCGTTCGGGTTCCTCAGCAAACATGAAGGCCGACTTGTTGCTTAAAACGAATGATAGAAGGGTTCACAGAGCTGGAATAGTGCAATTACCACTAAAATATTTGAACAATGTGCGACAAAAGATAAGGGGGAGGATGAGGGGAGGAGGGGGAGGAGGAGGAGGAAGAGGAGGAAAGGGAGGAGGAGGTGGAAGGAAGAGGACCTTGTTTAAGGGTTGATATGATGGAAAGTAAAAGATGACGTATCAAACACCGTACTGCCCGGAGTGCGCGTACTGCAAAGGAAGCGGTCCGCAGCAAAGAGAACATTGCTGCAACGGAAACAGATTCAGGGTCACTTTCCAAGGGTACAGCAATCATAAAAATTAGTTTGCGGCAGGCCGCCTGTAATAACAAAGCAGTAAACCTTGCAGTCATTGGATTTTCAGAGTCACGTGACTAATTGCAGAGTCGTGATTGGCTGTAATGTGATAGGGTGATCACCTATAAGCTCCTGATAGCTCCCCCCTACAAACCCGTCTGATTCGTTTATAGTGCTTTCTAAAATTCCCGGGCTAGACAAGATTATGCGAGTTGCAGAGCACGATTGTAGCATAGCTTCTGGAATGCTAGGTGTTGTTGGAAATGCAAGATATTGCAGGGAGGGTATGCAAATAGAGGGGGTTGTGGGGAGGGGCGAAGGAGCAGCAGATCTGTGCGCGCGTGTGTTTGTTGTCAACAAGCTAGCAGATTTTTTATTTAATAAGGATGAAATATTATGAGAGAATGGTACACGTATAGTTTCAGGCACGACACCCGCTATGCAGTAAGCAGACTAAGATCGGGGAGACACGGATAAAATCACGGCTAAGAATAGCCCCCCAGTCTTCTTCCCCCTCCACGAGTAAAAAGAAAACAGGTGAAATCAGCGGGTTCAATTTCAATCTCCGTCCGGTGTAAAACAAATCAGGACAAATTTAGTGAGTGCAGAAGGGTTGCCGTGTGGGTGAGGTGGCGAGGTAAACCAAGCTAACGAGGTTAACTCTCAGTTTTACCTCGCCCCCTGCCATTACAGTTACCAGGGAAACCTACCCAGCTCATTGGTCGAGTAATCCACTTTTACCCTGCTAAGCTGGAGGGAGACGGAACTTGAGTGAAAGGAGGGGGGAGAGAAGGTTGGACAAGGAGGAAGAGGGAGAAGGGGCCCGGATATGAGGAGGGGAAGGAAGGAGAAAAGGAGGAAGTGTAGTGAAGGAAGATGGTCCAGAAATGTGGAATACACAAGGTACCGGTGTATTAGTCGGAGATGAATAGTACGAGCTATAGGAAGTGATGAGCTAAAAGCTGGACCACGCCGTTCAGAAAATTCATAATCTGAGGAATGGGCGGAAATCAAGGATCTTGGTATGCTGACTGCAGGATAAATATGTAAATTCCTGCAGGCGCAAGCCTGCACAGGATCTGCAAGGTGCAGCATTGCTGCGACTCTATTATGTTTTGGAGCTGCTTAATTTGGACCATTTTAATATTTTGAGACCGTTCCCACCCGAAATAAGATCATCAATAAAGTAGAGTACGATTAGTATTCTGGCCAAATTATTATGCGTAATTTCCTTTACTTTATGAATATAAATTAGATCAGCCGAGGAACATTTATTAAAATAACATTAATCAATGGTTATATTTTTAATTTAATTAATCAATGGTGCACACGGCTCACGTCTATTGATAAGGGAACGTTTAAGTAAGATGGATTAAATTATCCGATAGTTCCAAATGTTTTAAATGTGAGTACCTGGCACGATTATCTGTTGCACTTCAAACCTTATTTTGTAGAATACTAATCGATTCAATAACATTACTGGAAATTAACGCTGGAGCAGTAACGTAAAATTAAGATCGACCTTGTGACTCCAGCCACGATCAAGAAAAATTATCGATATTTTACGGTGAATCGGGGAACATGTAGTGAAATCTGAGTAAGAAAAAATCTACTAAACGTATTACTGATTTTAATAATAGATTGTGCAGACCTATGGCTGGCAAATAAGTCTTTATGCTAGAACTACGGATAAAAATAATTCTGAATCCAGCTTTAAGTAGAATATTGGACTGCAGATATCTGCAGGATTTGAAAAACCACTGCTATGATGTTATATTCTTCCAACCCAAATAATATCTAGAAAATGGAAATGGAAAAAAATAAATGTCTTATCGAAGTCTCTAAGGTTTATCATACCATGGCTACGAAGGCTAGGCAACTGATAGTCCCTATGAACGCTTCTTATGGATAGGGATGTAGACTTAAAATTCAACCAGGTCTGATATCCAGACCTATTATAAAAATAAAAATGAACAATGAATAATGAATAATTGCTGCCTTTAAATAATTTCCTTGAATGAGAGCCCGGAAGCTAACAAGCCTAGAACAGTTACTGAGAACTGAATCACCTCACAGTGGGAATCAAGTAAAAACCCTGTGTAATCCTATTAGTGTGATGATCACACCCTGGAGTAAGATCTGCACTACTGCGCGGAAAACTCAAAAAGTCACGGAGAACTGTTTCGTCACAGAGCGGAAATTGAGTATACCCCCTTTAATCAAATTAATGTGATGATCAAAGGATTAGTAGACTACCGATAAAATACTAGTGTCCGAATTCATAGATTGGATTATGGGATACACACAATTTATCGTTAGCCCACTAAGAACTAGGGTACATGTATAGAAACCTGTGCTGGGAAAAGAAGGTATGGAAACCTGTACTGGGAAAAGTGTACGAGATATTTGGAGGCTTATATATAGCAGCTATGCAGGCTTGCAGATATGCAGGCTTGCAGCTGTGCAGGCTTGCAGGCTGGCAGGCTTGCTGACTGCTGCATCAACTATGTATAGTTAATGTAGTTCCAACTCATAGTCGAGCTAATCTGAAACCAGTAGCCTGGCCATGGAAAATTTATGAAAAAATTAAATTTTGCTAGACGATGCGAAACCCAAAACAATAATTGAGAAGTGAATAATTTCAAAGCAGAAATACAGCAAACACCCTATCTGATCCAATTAGTGTTATGGTTAGTGGATGAGCTCACCAGTGCCGGAAAATAGTGGACTTTGAACTATAAATAGATTATAAATAGAATTAACACTAGGACAGTTTCACAGCCGACAGATAAACAAATTTGCCAAATTATATCCGGGAAATGAGATGAGCTGAATCAAATGGGGCTAAGAATCAAATAGTACAAAAGAGTAGCAGCATTTGATATTTCAATATCAAATTGACAAATGCAATGAACATCGTGCCTTCTCAGATGATACTATTGAAGCAATTTAATAATTTGCAAAGGCTACTGCCCGACTTGAAGCCTCTTTTAAAATAAAAGATTAGGTTATCAAACGATTAATTCTTTTAGTAACCCAACTCACATCTTGGAATAAAATTAGGTTAAATTCAGTGATCTCCGCATCTCACGGAAGAATCAATCAGACTTACCTAACATGGTCACCACAAAAGGAGACTGTCCCAACCTGCTAAATTCCAGGACACCAGTGGAACTGTGATTCAATTACTGTGTGGAACGGATTTCCAGCGTGTGAAAGAAAAATCTGGAGTGTTTCTACGTCAAAGTGAGTGTTGGAAGGAGGGGGTTGTGGAAATGTTACGTTTCTAAACTCGGCTATGATCCTAAGATTCCGCTAAACATTGTCTGGAGCAACTTCAATGAAGGAGAAAAATTTAATAAGTGACTTAAGTAAAAAAGTAAAACGGTAACTGAGGCAGACAGACACGTCTTATTTGTTTAACAACATTATTAACTTAATAGTATTAAGTGCGATGCTGTCGCCCCCAAGATGTGATTAGATCGTTTCCAATATTAGTAATAAGTAAACGGAAAATGCAAAATAATATGATGTTACTGGTACCGTACTGGGGATAATGACTTCACGTCGGGGTAATGTCTTACAATATAGAAAATGATTATATTCACGAAACGCAATATAGAAAATTATGAAATTTAATGAAACGCATTAGGAATCTTCTAAACGTTCTATGCACTGCTAAGCGTTCTAAGCGATCTAACATATTAAGCAATTTTAACTAAATAAACACGGATAATCTGGAATTTGTCGGGTTAATAAACGCAGAGGTGAGTTTAAGAATTGTCGCCTCCTGAAATACGATGCTCCTTCTGATCAGTGCAATCAATCTGATGTCTTAATTAATCGGGGTAAACACCCGTCCCACATTACTGATTAGGAATTTTAGATGATGCCAAGAGAGATTTTAAAACATTAATCTGGATTTACTTGAATGGTAATTGTTAACGACACAACAAATGGTGCATGTAATTAATTAAAAGAAACAAA